ATCATGGAAAACTACTCCAAGTTACCTCAGCCATGAAAATGAAACAGTGAATTGCAACTTCAGTGTGCTAAGTCTTGCCTCTTTCAGAGAGATGAGCTTTTAGAAGTCATGCAGACAACAATGACACTAACATGATCTGTAAACAAAACAAAAGCATTTTAGTGTTATGTAGTTTGGACTGTGTGAAAATCAGCCTTTTGTACTAGTTTTTATTTGTATATTTGACCTTATGTCCCAACAGTACCATTGCTTTTGTTTTTTTCAAGTGACAGTGAGATATAATTATTGTGAACCTACTGGAAAATTCAGTGGTTATATAAGACATTCAAAAAGCCGCTGTTTGAACTCTTCTTAACTGTCTTATTTTATCTGTTTGTAACTGGTAATTATGAGTTCAAGCTGATCTACAATTTCAGTTTCTACAGCAGTGCTGTTAAAACTTGTTTGGCTTTAGTTTGTCTTATTCTTCTCCAGTAACACTTTTAAAGGTCTGGGTGTAACACTGAAATACTCATAATGTTCTAAATCAGCTCCATTTATTTGCACTGTATTGTAATAATGGCAGCTGCCCTGACTGGAAAGTGGGACAGAAAGAAGAGTGAAGGGAAAGCGAGAGAAAAGAAGGGAAAAGAAAAGAACAACAAAAAGGGAAATCAGAAGCAAAGAAACAAGAGAAATGTAGATTGTAATAAAATAAAAATGGAATAAGGAAGAGTAAAAACAGTGGGAAAAGAGTAATTAAAAATAGAATACAAATGTTTGGTCACCAACCAACAAATAGGCTAGCAATATGTCAATTTGTATCCGGTCTGTACCCAAACACTTGACATGCTATGCTAGCTGAAAGACTAACAAGCCAGTGTGACATTTAAGTTTCCAAGAGAACAAAATACTTGAGGTCAAACACAGGATTACAAAATGGAAAAAAGTTGTTGCTGAGAAACTGCTTTTAGATAATTAGAAGTGTTCTTAGAGACTAGATATCAGAAAGAACTGCTGAATTTTAAGAAATGGTGGAATCATTAAGTAATGATTGGGGATCTGTTTCTGTAAGTAACCACCCCAAAATGGATGACTCAATACATATAAAAATCAAGTTTTAATAAGGTTATCAGTTGCACTGGTTGTATCAAAGAATAAATCAGTTCTGTCTGATAGGATCTGCCTTCTATCACAGCCTGTTTGTCAGCATTAATTCTATTTCTGTTCTTCCCATGCTGTGTTATTAAAAGCTTTTGTTTGGTTGTTTTCTTCCCTGGGATTCTTATAATTTAGCTATCCAATACTTTTATCATTTGTCCTGCTTGAATTTCTTCATTCCATGATGGCACAATGTCAACACTTTGCCAGCACTTGGACCTCCTTAGCCACAATGCCAGCTGTGATCAGATAAACTGTTATGGCCTCAGATCAACAAATGAAAAGCTTTGTATTATCAGATTAACACAGTACCTCCCCAAAAGTTTGATCTGTCAGCATAAAGACACATGGAATTTCCTTTCCTAACCTTGTTCTACTGAAACGATGCTAGTGTTTTTTGACCCATTAGAAAAAATATATATTTAAGCTAAGGAAAAAGAGATGATCGCTGTTATTTCTCAAACTGCTCCACTGGAGCCAAAATATTGTATCTTGGCATGACTTCAGGCTCTCTTCTTGGTTAGCATTCCCATTTCAAGATGTTGGGTGTCTGATGAAGGATTTCTGATTTTGGCATTTAACGGAATAATTAGGAATAGGCTGCTTATTGTAAATTGCATCTGACTCTATTAAATCTAACTCCAAGCAGCACATTTCTGATGGTCAGCGCCAAGATGACTTGATGATATTGAACAGTGCACTGAAAAGTGCTGGTAGCTATACGGCTGTTAGCCTGAATATTCCTGCTTAAAAGCCCTTCAGTCCAGATATCTATTAATACTTTTGTGGAAACATGGCACTTTATACACACATGCCTCTAAAAAAGTGATGTATAACAACTTTGCCACAGAATTTTGATCTCTGTGTCAAATCACAGTTTCACCTACCCATGAACCTAAATAAATAAAATGGGAGAATGATCTCAATATGTAGGCATGTGTGCTGATAGAGACACAATTGCATAAATGGTGGCCACTTCAGAACCTCCCTTCTTATTTAGATTAACATCATTATAACCCAGGATTTCCTCCAATAGCACAAAATTTTGCACAACTTCATAGAACACTACTATGGTTATACTGCTTGCAATCCAGAAGTTTAGATTATCTTCAGAGTTCAGAAACAATTGCTATGAGAAATTATTGACCAAATCCTTACCTCTAGAAATGATAATGAAGGAACAGCAAAACATTTTGAGTTTGCTTTTTGGCCTGTTTTCCACTCACTGAATTTTTTTTTTTTTTTTCCATCATGGTATGAATATAAGTGAGCACAAGTGCTTTCCTGATTCAGTCAAACTTTTCCTGATTCTGATTTAGACGTTATGTTCAAAGCAGGGGCATAGCTGCTATTAAGGACAGCATTGGAACAGCTACCTTCTCGCTGGCAGTGTGACAGTACTCATAAACACGTGTTCCCTGAGCAATGCATGGAAAAATTGGCCTTCACAGCAAGGGCTGCACTCCACGAGATTCTACTCCGGTAACAGTCAGCTGGAAAACACTGAAAAATAAGGCTGTCTTGAACTCTATACGCTCTGAGGTCTTGACCCCTTTTCCTTAAAATAGGTCCCTACATCTTGAAATAAGCAGAGATCACTCCTTTGTTTTAAAAACAGTCTGTTGGAAGATGAAAAGCTACTATAGCCCTGGCTCTTCTTCCCTACCCTCTCTCCCCTATAAACAAGTTCAGTAGTTTATATACATAAGAGCCAAACTGTTTTCTTTTCTCCCTGCTGTTTCACATTCGTATTTCTGCATCAGGTTTATTATATGTGTGTTTTCTAAAGGAGGAGCGGGATTGGTCAGAAGGGTTGTTCTCCCCTTTTGTTGGCACTAGTCCACCATGAAGGTGGAACTGTTAGTGGTCCAAATAGAAAAGAAACGTTTCTTGTTGAGTATTTAAGAAATCCTCTGGAAAAAGAAAAGACTCACTTGCAGTCCTTTCAATAAGGATAATATATGCAAACCTTTCACAGAATAAAATACTGCCCTGGGACTGCTAGCTGGAGACCAGATCCTCTTCTCACATCGTTACTGAACAATTAACTTGGAGGATTCATTCTTTAGCTGAGAAATTTTGAATGTTTCTGCAAAATGGGACAGTTTCAACAAAAGTGGTTTTACATTCTGCTCTGGCTGATGCTTGAGGCATCTTTCAGGAAGGCATGCAATGAGCAGCAGAATCAAGATCATGCTACACAAAGGAAGGAAATAGCCCTGCACCCTAAAACCATCTCTAAAAATTAAAATCCTTTACAAAGAGTGAAGGGGAAGCATTTCACCTGCTCCTGTGCTTGAGATCCAAAAAAATCCTCTGAGGAGCACTCTCTTGCACATGTACATTAGCAGATCTCAGAGTGCTCCTACTTCAGCAAGTCCTCTGATATTTAGACAAACATTAATTGGTCTGCTGCATTAGCTACACTCTGGTCTGCTCAGAGCTGTTAGCATTGACGCAATTCTGGATATGCTTATAAGCAGAAAGAGAACTGGGAAATATTAAAGGAAAAAGAAGCACAAGCAAATACAGAATTTCTGTATTTTCAGTAGTAGAAAGCAAATAAACAGGAATTTTATGAGTGCAATTTTGGATATAGATAGATGCTACCCATGTCTTATTTCAAATATGTCTTGCTTTTAACCAAGCTGTTTGCCTTGGTTTAAATCTGATGCTTTATCTGTGTAAGATGTGGTTCTTTGGTTGCTGATTTTTCTAATAAATATTTTTATAATAAGGTATCTTTTAAAAAGAGTTTAACGTAAGTTGTGTACTCTATAGACTTTGAACTACAGCTTCTGAGATTTACATGAATCTTTCAATATGCTCAGCATGTTTCTTAGTCTGTTCTGAAAGGTGAATTATTCTCCGTAAATTTTCCATGAAACAAAAAGAGACTATTTGTTTCCATGGCAAAATCATAGTTTCTTTTCCAGTAATCAGTTTGCATCTTTGTACTCATGACACAAACAATCTGTTTAAAAGCATAAGAAGGAAAGCATGTTGGCCATAATGAAATTGGAGGGCAATCAAACTACAGGAGATAGGTTACATAAGATATAGAAGAGAAGGTACAAAGTAGGCATAAAGTTTCAAAAATGGTCTGAGGGATTTCTGTTTTGTCTGTTTGTTTTAATTTGTCTGTTCGTTTGTTTTAATTGATTTGGCATTCTCAGACAGCATCCAAGAATGGTGGCAAATAGAAGTAAACTTGAAGACCTCACCATTTTTGTGATGTGAATTTGTACTTGGAAACTTCAGAGCAATCACAAAAATTTAAGAGACCTTTCTGCCTTATCCCTAGAAGTTAACAAACGAGCATAAATATTATATTTTCAAAGTGAAAGTTCCTATAGGCAATTCTACATTCTCCTTAAATGTTTAAGCTCTCTCAAGATTCATAAACATTGAAAGCATAGAAAAGAAAGTAGTGAAAGCTATGGTCACTTAAACCTCCCAAAGCCTTAGCAGATCAACCAGCTAACACAACCAGCTGTTGAGAATTCCAAACTGAGGTTCTTCGTTACAGGCAGCCTGTGACAGATTATTTCTGTGAATCACACCAGTCACAGAAAAAGCAAATTTTGACTTGTGATGTCAGCTGGAATTTGCTGTTTACTTTTACACTGTAAAAAGCTGATTAGAAATGAACAAAACATGTGGTGCAAGGATACAGACAGCACTAGCACAGTTCAGCCTAGATGCTTACAGCTGAAGGTAATACAGGCAGCCTGCTACAGTTTTCACATCTAACTTCAGGCTCAATTTAAATTTACTGCAAGGTTGATTTAGATCTGGATTTGGGAGATCATCTGCCTTTTAATTAGGAGATAAAGCACACATTCAAACTATCTGCTTAATTTTTTATTTCGATTTATATTGTAACATGCTTGGGTTGTGACTGAGGTGAAACTTCTGTTTTAGAGCATCAGATTAAAGATGATTAAAAAATACATGACGGTACATCACAAGAAAGAGCTTGTGAGGGCAGGAGAGGGGGCTGGAGCATCAGCCAGACTACTGACATCCACTCATACAAACTACAATCAATCTCCCCCTCAGGCTTTTACAGGTACAATTACCTTTATAATTGCCACAGGGATGGCCAGACCATGCTTGAATAAGCAAATGTGGGAGGGACCACCTAAGGTCAAGTAAGAAACAGTAATGATTTTATTAATTACCAAATTCTACATAATGAGATTTTATAAAATCAGATGTCTAGAGGGAATCTCAAGAGGTTTTCTAGTCCATCTTGTTCCTCACAGCAGCTAGACAGCTAAAGCTAGGTCTTTCCCAAACACTGTTTTCCTAACCGCTTCTCAAGAGAGACCTGTCCTCCATCTTCAAATGATGAAACTGTCCCTGTACTATCTATCCCAGTTGCTTCACTGTCATGATCATCACAAGATTGTTTTCCAAGACACTATCCTTAGTGTGCCTTGTTGCAATTTACTTCAGCGGCTATTTCCCATGCTATATTTATGCAATTAATAATTCTTGCCTCTAAAGCCTAATTCATACTCACTGGCACTTTGTAGTCTTGTGAATGTGGCACTCAATGGATTTGGGCTGAAATATAAATGTATCCTGTTTTTCTTAATGCTGAGAACTTTTATTGCACGGCTACCGTTTATGCAGGAGTTACTAGAAATAACATATGTGCTCTCTCCATCTTCCCATAACTGTGCTTTTATAGTTGAAAAGACTTGTATTTGATTTTTGCAGCTGCAGAAACAAGCAAGAAAACAAGACCCAGCTGCATGAGTGAGGAAGTGGAACAGAGGAAATAATTTCAGGCCTATTAGAAAGTGGCAACAAACTGAAGAGAGAAAAGGAAGATTTTTTCTCTCTCCAAAAGGTTCGAAGATGATACCATAAAAATGCAAAACATGACAGAAAATTATAATACATTCAAATTCTTCTTCTTGAAATGCAGGAGAACATACCATTGAAATGTAGGTTTGCTTGCATTTCTCATGACATGCCAATGGCATTGCTATCCCATGACTCGATATAAGTCTCCATGTGATTAATATGCAGCTTCTTGCCATGTGGGCAGACATGTTGGGGACTGTTGGAGCTCTGTTTTCATGTTTGGGGTGAATCTTTGTAGCTTTGTAGCTTGGAAGATTCTAGGGTGAATCTTCCTTTGTAGGAAGGTTAGTGCAGGACTGTTGCCAGTCTTCTAAGATGAAATGCTGTTCACCCATGAGAAAAAGTTCACGGTTGTTGCTTTAGACAACTGAAGTCCTATTAGATCAACTGGAATTTTCAAAGCATCACCCTTGCAGGATGGACTACATTGTTTTAACGGATTTTTCAGCTCGTAGATCCTCAAGTACACATAGCTACAAAATCTAATCAGTGTAACACTAAAGATTTCTGTGATTCTTGATGCTTTAGTGGACAAATGTATGTGATAAAAGCAACGTACATATTCCTCAGTGGAATCAGATTTGATATATGACAATCAATTTCTCATATATTTTTCCCAACTGATACAAAATGGTTGTCCTCTGAAAGCACTTACTTTTCTTTAAAACTTCTCAAGGAGTTTAAAATCACAATCTCAAAGAAATTCTCTTATTTCATACAGGGTCAGCATTAATCCTTTTTGAAAATGAAGGTTTTCATAAATCTTAGGGTCACAAGAGACTTTAAAACCTGACCTCCTTCTTTTTAATCTTCACATGCTATGCAGTGGTGTGGCAAGGGACTCCTTGGGATTCAGTCAAATGCTTTCAATCATGTCTTCCTAGAAGTCTTGAAAGACTTTGAGAAATGAGTAATTCAGCATTATTTGATGATTATAAAAGTGTTAATGATCCTCATTTCTAAAATATGGACTTTTTTTTTTCTTATATTTGGCACAAGTGAGCAAATGGCTTTCTTGTATGTGTCATACATTATAAGAATAAGAAACTCTTGGAAAACAGTGTTTTTTAGGCTTTCTGAGGCTCTTCATGGAAGAACACATTTTCATGTGTGTGTTTTATGGCTGGGAATGAGACATGCAGAGGGGTACAGCTATATAACAGAAATGGAAAATTGATCTATCTGTCATTTTAGGTTCTTAACTTCAAGAAAACCTCCTCATATCCACACCTCTTATTCTGGAGATGATGACATTCCACTATTGAAAGTCAATAAATGTGTGCCTTTCTGCCAGTGGATAGATTCAGTACCAGTAAGTCCTGACAGCGTTGCACAGTTTAGCACCTGAAGTCACCAGGAGCGCTCTAGAAACTTCCTCTGGGTGACCAGATGCAGGAAGGGTTCTTAGTACTTGCTTTCTTTCATATGCAGCTCTTGCAGGGGAAGAGGAACTTGCACTCCCTGTCTATGCTGCATTTCCTAACAGTATGTTTCTTAACAGTATAAAGCTTGTTAGAATAGTAGCCTGATGTGTGAAATCCAAACTCATAAATGACATGGGTCTGTTTCAAAGCCAAAGTTTGATTCTGTATCCACTGTTTCCTAGGGTAATTCCTTAACAGCTGGTCTTTAAGCATGCTGAGAGAGAAGGCTTGAAAGAGTTTCTGTCTCTACCCCTGAACTTGTTCCACTTGTGTAAGTCAAAGAAGAAAGCTGAAGAAAAACTAATGTTTGCTGTGCTGTTTGTATATTTGATGTATGCTCATATGAATCAAAGGGGAGAATTTATTCTTGGCTAAAAGGTATGGCAGCACAGGCACTTAGTTCAGAGAAAGAAAGTACTGCTTTGACTTGGACCCCTTCAGTCACAGTCCTCACTGGGCTTCTGAACCTCAGACTGTAGCAGGTCTTACCCCAAGACTTCTGGTCAGTTTTTTCTAGCATACAGTCCAACTGACTTCTCACTCAGCTTCTATAAGCACAAAATTCTTCTCATGTTTTCTTCTTCAAGTTATGTTGGTGTCCAATTCTAGTTAAAATCAGTGGAATTTATGAATAGGGGGTTAGGTAGTATGAATACTTTGGAGGAGATTACATGAGGGATAAAATTAAGGAAAACTAAAATAGTTACCAACGGAGACTGAAAACTTTGGCAGTAAATTAAACAAGCCAGAGCATGTGTTTTGGTCTTGAGGCTTTTGCAATACAATCTGCCCTGTGCAAGTAAACTTTCTGTCCTCCAAAACAGGATGCATACTCTCATTCACTTTTAAATGAATGCTTCAACAGACTTGCAAAGGCTAAAAAAAGTCCAGACCCCTATGTGGGCACCTTTATGTGGGCAATTTCTGGTGCAGCCTTATTGCACCATGTATTGTATGCGACTCCTGGCACACTTCAGGGATGTTCCTTCTCTTCCTTTTTTTGGTTCCTCATGTTCATTCCAGATGAGATTTGATGCCTTCTCAAGTTCACCTGTATGACTACCCTCTTTCAGGTTTAGACTGAGATCTGGATTTCTGGTTCAATTCTCATTTACTATAATAAGACATTGATCTGAATCTATTTCAGGAGATCCTGATAGAGGGATATCATCATCTTTCTTATAAGTCTGGCTGTAACAGTTAAAGAAAGCCTTTTTTTTTTTTTGATCCCTAGGAAATAACTTACACTCTTAAAACAGATTAAATTATACTCCCCCTCAACAGCAACCATTTAACTTCTATTTTCTTTATGTCAATTATCTCTGCAATCCATATTATGCTATCTTCTGTATTTTTTATTTTTAATGCTAAGGCTGTGTTGCTAGTGTTATCTAACTATAGTCAAAGCTATTTTCCATGTACTCCAAATCAACCAAACTGCAAGTTTCCTATTTTTGCACAGCTGCATATTACCATCAAAGGACTAACCCTTTCTATGTTCTAGCTTCAGATAGCAGAAATGCAAATACATAAATCCATTCTTCTGTTCTGTAACCTATTTTATTTGCTGTTGCCAAACATTGCAGTGTGTAAGTAATCAGGTAGCAAATTACTTACCTAACAATTTACAATATCTGTGTAACATCTCACTGCCGACTTGACCCTCTTAACATCTATAGAGTTCTTTGATCCCAGACATTCAAAACTCAATAGGTGATTACTTTTGCAGACAGTAACATTGTAGCCAGAACACTCAGAGTTTAAGAGCAGCTTCCTGGTGACAGAACAGTAGGTATGAACATATTCTTTTACTGTAGTAATTGTTTGATGAAAGTCTTTAAAATAAAGTGACATTATGAATACTGTAGTCCTAACGGATTTGTGTTACCTCTCCCCACACAGTTCTGGGCAAGAAATTGTTGAAAGGAAGAATTAACATGTAATATATTTTCTTTATTCAAGAAAAAAGATATCTTTTGTTTTATCATTAAAGCAGAATGAGAAGAACGGATTTTCTGTTCATTTTGAATAACCTTTAAGTAAAGTTATTCACAACTCCAAATGTTTACATCACTAAAAATCCTTAGTTATTGCTAATATCCTAGCTTTCTTGGCTTTAAAGAAATATTATTGCTGAGCTCATAAACAACCAATGTCAGCAATCAGTGCTGCAGTTACGACTTTCTCCATGGAGGTTAACTGAAGAGAAGATTACTGGCAGCAGGTGATTAATTTCCCATTAAATAATCACCATGCGAAATAGCAATCTCTACTTGCAGAATTTTTGGTGGTTAAAGGGATTGACTTAGCTGACTTGGCCATCTGTTAGCCAGACTATCAGATCACAAAAACATATGGAAAATATATCATAGATGTGACATATTTAAAAAAAATATATAAATAAATAAAAACAACAACAACAAAAACCAAACAACAAAAGCAAAACCCTGAAGAATTAATGTTTAGATAAATGATTTTTCTAACTGTTCCCCACTCAGTTACACAAGCATCAGGACTGCTGCCAGGGGGCCCACAGAAGTGTGTGGCTACCAGTAGAGGGGAGAGTAGGACAGTGCTATAGCACCTTGTGTTTTGGTGTCTTTAAGTCACCTTGGAATTTCATCTTGCTAGCTTTAGCTTAGGTGATTAGTGCCATATGCTGTAAAAATTAAATTATATGCCAGGGAAATCACTTGTGAAATGAGAGATTTTTTAATGTGGCAATGCCACCAAAATACTAAATAGGTAGTAAAGGGAAGCATCATGATGTCTTAAATGCTGAAGTAAGCAAAAAGATAACAATGTAATGCAGAACTTGACAGAGAGCTCCATGCAGACCAGTTAATTGGGCCTTGTTTGGTTGTCTTTGCAGGGCATTGTTTTGTGACCTCTAGTAATAATAACAGCTCAAGCTGCTTGTATGGTGCCTATAACTCAGTAAAACAGGATCCCTGCCAAGCAGACAAGTCTTGCTCTCAGTTGAAGAGTTATCAGGCATCTAAGATCTATAACTCACTGCAATGAGTTCTGTGATCTTGCAACAATATTTGCAATTCTCTTTCTGTGACAATGCTTAAAGCAGTGTACAATGATTAATAGGTCTATACACTTTTACAGACCCCAAAAGTGACAGATACTAATATCAATATCCAAAGATTCTTACTGATGCTTCTTGATGTGAGATCACATATCACATTCTGTGCCGTTTGCTCTTTTCATTTCTTATGGGATCAAATTTCAAAATAGTTAGATATATCTACTTATATATCCATATATAAATATATATAGCTTATGGTAAAGCACAGAAACATTTGAAGACTTCCAGATGACTACACTGTGTGTGAAAATACATGCTTGCAAATTCTAACAGACATGGACTTTGCTTACTGATGAGTTAGCTCCTATTTTCTAGTGCTAGTGAATGAACAAGTTAAAAATATGATTCATAAATATCCAGGTGCTAAAATATGTTTATATTAGTAGGTTTGCCTAATTAGTTTCATTATAAAACTCCCTATTTATGAGAGAGGTCTAGGGAATTTGAAAGCAGTGTTTTATTAACACTCTTTATTTTACTCTCAC